AGTCTTGTTAAAGTTCTGCTTAGTAACTCTAATGCATGTTCCCATAGTGGTCGGCATTGGACAGGTGGAGCTATTTGCCCCTTTAGATCCAAGTCTTTTGAGCACCAGCTGACACATCCCACCTCAGGTAAGAAGAGCCCCTGGGACCCAGCTGAGGTTGAAAGAATGACTTTCATTTAGAAGTCTGGTTTGATGTTTAGATTTTATTTTTATCTGCTTTGTTTAAAATAGATGACTTCTCTTTGAGACAATTGTAACTTTTCTGATGAGAAATCTGAAACCAGAGGAAGAACTCATGTCCAGTGAGTGACCTATTTTCACCACATCCAGAGCTACCTGCAATGATTTCATAGAAAATGGGGCTTGACAGCTCTCTCCTAGGCCTAACCACAGCATCATCAGGGTACAGCGAATGGGCAGGCAGTGATTGGCAGCCAGTCCACAGTACGTCCAGTTGTAGCTCCAAGGGTTCTCCATTACTCTCATGCCTCCCCAGTAGCCCATGAAGCAAGACTCTGGGTGGGTAGCCAAACAGAGAAGTTCCTGAGGGGAATTCTAGGCTATCTCCAAGGGTAGTCCCAAATTGGCTTATTCCTGAATGCAAGGTTGGCTTAACATTTGAACTTCAGTAATAGCTGGACCTGAGTAGACTAAAGGCACTTCTAAAAATAGATCATTATCTTTTTTTTTATTTTGAAATAGGGTTTCTCTGTGTAGCTCTGGCTGTCCTGGAACTTGCATGGTAGACTGGCCTTGAACTCAGAGATCTGCCTGCCTCTGCCTCCCGAGTGCTGAGATTAAAGGTGTGCACCACCACTGACTAGCAGAGCATTATCTTTTATTTCTTACATATGTTAAGTATCTCCACAGAAATTTGTGAGAGCAATTGAAGAATATTTAAATGAATGCAGAGATACACGTGAGTGATCTGGACAGTGGTAGTGCACACCTTTAATCCCAGCACTCGAGAGGCAGAGGCAGGTGGATCTCTGTGAGTTTGACACCAGCCTGGTCTACCAAGCAAGTTCCTGGACAGACAGGGCTACACAAAGAAACTCTGTCTTGAAAGCAGAAAAGGAGAGGAAAGAGATAATCATGAATTGGCACCTTTAACAGTCTGAGAATATTCATTCTTTAAAAATTGACATATAACTAAAAGGTGATTTTTGGGGGCAGCACTAGAGTTTGAACCTAGAGACAAAGCATGCCTTAGGTTCTACAGAGGCATGTCAGAGTCTCTAGGACTGTAATTATTGAGGGAAGTGGTCCACAATGTGGGTGCTGGGGTTGGAACCCTGGGTCCTCTGGATGAGTAGCCAGTGTTCTTCAGTGCTGAGCCATCACTCTGGCTGGCTTTCTAATATTTAACTAATGTTTTTTAAAAAGATTTATTTATATGTATGAGTGTTTTACTTGCATGTATATCTGTGTACCACATGCATGCTTGGGACCTGTGTAGGTGTAAAGAGGGTATCAGATCCTGTGAGAATGGAATTACAGATGGTTGTGAGCTTCCATGTAAACCTGAGTCTTCTGTAAGAGTAGCCAGTGCTCCAAAAATAGACAGGTAGACCAATGGAATAGAGTTGAAAACCCTGATATTAACCCACACACCTACGAACACCTGATTTTTGACAAACAATCCAAATATATACGCTGGAACAAAGAGAACATCTTCAACAAATGGTGCTGGCATAACTGGATGCAGACATGTAGAAGACTGCAGATAGACCCAAGCCTTTCACCCTGCACAAAACCTAAGTCAAAATGGATCAAAGACCTCACCATAAACTCAGCCACACTGAACCTACTAGAAGATAAAGTGGGAAATACCCTTGAATTAATCGGTACAGGAGACCGATTCCTGAACATAACTCCAGTAGCACAGACACTGAGATCAACAATTAATAAATGGGACCTCCTGAAACTGAGAAACTTCTGTAAGGCAAAGGACATAGTCAGCAAGACAAAACGACAGCCCACAGACTGGGAAAAGATATTCACCAACCCCACATCTGACA